GGAGCAGCCAGAATAGGCTAGATTATGCTGTAGTAACAAACAACCCTCAAATCTCAGTGGTTTCACACATCAATATTTTTTGTTCATTTTATGTATTATTTGCGGGTTGGCATAGAGTCACTGCCCATTAAAGCAACTCACAGATCCAAGCAGCCACCAGCTGGTTACTGTGGCACAGGGAAGAAGAGTATTCTGCAGGGTCTTGCACGGGCAGTGAGATGTCCCAGGCTGAAAGTGACAGCCATCATTTCTCACTGGCAAGAAGTAGTCACATGTTTCATCCATCATGAGGGGCCAGGAAGTATAGTTCTACACTGGGCCCAAAAGCTCGGTCACAGGGGAGGAACCCAGAGCTATTTGGCAAACAACTCTAATGATTAGCACACATTCTTAAATAGTGATTCACTTTATACTTCCCTGAGAAAATTTAAGTGTTTTCCAACCACCCAACTCCCCACCCCCAGAAAAACCCCTGAAACTTACTCATCTGCCTATTATCAAATTTGCCATCCTGTCTGAATTTATATCTCCTTCCTCCTTCATGGATATTCCAATATAGGAAATATCTTTTCTCCTATCCAAGTGTTTTTGATCATACTCTTGTCGGGCCTTAATTTTTAGTGTTTCTTTTGTTTATTTGTTTTTGTTTTTTAGTCAGGGTCTTGTTCTGTCACCCAGGCTTGCAGTTGGGTGATCATAGCTCACTGCAGCCTCGAACTCCTGGCCTCCAGTGATTCTCCTCCTCAGCCCCCGAGTAGCTGAGGTTATAGGCGCAAACCACCGTGCCCAGCGATTTTTAGTGTTTCTTGTTTTCTGTAGTGTAAATACTATCACCATGGCCAATTCCAAGTTACCAACATAGTGTTCCTGCATGTGCAGGTGGGAAGAGATGTCAGATAGGCTGTTATGAGCAGACATGAAGTGACTCTAGCACACCACTGGTAGTCAGTTACAAAATAGACACAAGTACCCAGACAGTACTCGTGTCTAATAATAGTACTCATATTAAACATACTTGTATGTGTGTATAAGTATATATAGCATGTAGATATGCATGCATATTTATATTAAGCTTGATTTCTTTTCTTTTAGATTAAAGATCAAACAGTTCTACTATTCTATGCACCCCTCCAACTCTAATGGGTTGCTTTATAAATCCCTGCATACCTCACTTGGGAGACTACTGCTCTAGACACTCAAGATCTTTGCCCGTTTGGTTATTCAGCCTCTCTTCTGCATCATCAGCCTCTTCCTTTTGTGTCATTCTCACGAGTGTACTGACAAAGTCTAGTGTGCTCTACTATCTTCCGTCATTAAAGATGGCCCTTGATGTAGCATTCCCCTTCATCATCAGCCCCATTTTTCTGTTCTCCTTCATAGCAAAACCATTCAGAGACATGCCATCTCCACTTCCTCCTCTTTCTTTCCATCTTCGGCCTACTCTAATCTGACTTCCATCCCCACCAGACTCTGCTGAAATCGCTCTTGTCATTGTCATCAGTGATTTCCATGCTGTCAAATCCTGTGGATGATCTCCATTCTCATCTCACTTGACCTCTTGGTGGCAGCTGAGTGCTGACAACTGCCACGCTGAGTTCCTCTGCCCCCCTTCTGAGCTCCAGATGTGTGTATCCAGTTCCCCCTATGTTATTTCACCTGGAGATTTCGTAGGTATCTTAGTGAATACAGCTCCAGAATGGAACTCTTCATTTTCCCCCTGTTCTTCTCCTTACTATTCCTATTTTGTTCCAGTTTTCCTTATTTCAAAAAATAAGAAATCGGTTATTTGATTATTAAATCCAGAGATCTGGATGGAAGTCATCCTTAATATCTATCCTTTCTTCATTCCTCACATCTAATCTGTTAGCACATCCTTTTGTTCTACTTATGAAATATGTACTTTATCCTGTCCTTTTGTCTCTGTCTCTACCTTAATCCACACCATCCTAGGTGGTAGTAATAGCATCTAATAGGATTTTCCACATTCACATTTGCCCCTTTTCAATTCCTGTCTGATATTATAATAAAGATTGATTTTTATAAAATGTAAATCAAGTTATTTTTCTTCCCTTGAAATCATCCAGAGCACTTACAGTCTATTCCAGATTCCTCACTGTGACCCCCAAGGCTCTGTGTGATCCTGTCTTTGCCTTCCTCTTCATCCTCATTGCATGTCACTCTGTCTTCGACTCCTTTTTTTTAACTAGAGTAGGCTGGTCTTCTTTCTCAGTGCCTTTGCTTTTTTGGTCTCTCTTTCTAGGAAGCTATTTCCTAGCTCCCCAGACATCTGGTGCGTTCTTTTCCTGAAAGTCTCACCTTAAATGGCATCTCCTTAGAGAATCCTGATGACAGATTTCCTGTTGGGTTTGTTTCTGTCCTGGTACTTAACACAATTTGGGATTGCTTTCCTTTTCAACACTTGATTTGGTAGAAGGCTCCACTCTGTGAGGGCAGGGACCTTATCTTTGTCTGGTGTTTGGTAGGTGCTCAAGAAACATACGTGGAATGAAAAAAATGTACAGAAGTGTAAGTGATCTGGCCCCACTTATTATAGAAGCAATAATTACTGAATGAAGATTTAGAAGGAAGGTGTCTGAAAAATGGTGGGCAGCACGATACTAGAAGGACAGGTTAATGTGTTGATTATGTCTGACTCCTTCCTTCAGGACTCAGCCTAAAGCTAGGAGGGAGCAGATCAGATTAAACAGTATGGGGGTGAATGTAAAATCCTGTGCTTTGGTTAAAAAAAATCAGTTGCATTATACAGAATCAGGAAATTGGCCTGACTCAATTCATATGTCAAGTCCTAAGCAGCCCAAAGTGGTGGCTGCAAAGCTAATGCAGCCCTAAACTGCATCAATAAATCCGTGTACTTGTGTATCAGGGGAAGGAATTGTCTTATATTAGTCTTGTCCAGCGACACCAGTAGAATTATTACAACCTTTTAGAATTGCAGTGGAATACCTCATTCATCCATCTATGCATCCATCCATCCATTTGTTTACCATTTACTGAGTACATTCTGGGTGCTGTTACAGTCGTGAACAAAATTGTCGTGGCTCTTGTGTTCATGGAACTTCATGTCTAACCCCCAAAGAGAATCGCGTTCTCTTTCAGTGAAAGTATTGAAGCAGGAACTAATTTGTCATTTATTGAGAGGCAGTGCAATCCAGTGGTTAAAAACTCACGCTCTGGAACCATTTAGACTCTGGAGCCCAGGGGCTTCAAATTCCAGCTCTGGTATTTACCAGCTATGTGACTTGGCCAAGTTGTTAAAATGTCTCTGTGCTTCAGTAGTCTCATCTATAACCTGGAGATAATAATACTGTGTTGTTAGTATTAACAGTGTTGTGAGAAATCAATAGGTTGTAAGCAATTAATTAATAAAATTGTGTTTTCTGGAGGGCCAAAGGCTGGGAGAGGTTGAGGGTAAGAAAAAGTGGTCACAGAGTAAAGCCTTGGAGATCAAAGCCCAAATTGTTATTATTTTTTGTTTATATTAAAGATTGCTGATAGTTTGAGCTTGAACTTGAAAATCTTGACTGGAGTGCTGGATGATGTTTGTTTTATTTAGTTTTCTATTTTAAGCTAGGAAGATATGAATCCTGTTTAGACATGTCACCTGATATGTCCTTGCCCCACCCCCAGTGCTTACAAAGAAACACACCTTTGGAAAGAATAAAATTATAACTATCCATAATGTGTATTTTTGCTTTGGTTTTGTTTTAGTGGCAGCTGAAATATCCTAAACTAATTCTCCGAGAAGCCGGCAGTGTGTCCGAGGATCTCCATAAAGAGGTTCAAGAAGCCTTTCTGACGCTGCACAAGCATGGCTGCTTATTTCGGGACCTGGTTAGGATCCAAGGCAAAGATTTGCTCACTCCGGTGTCTCGCATCCTCATTGGTAATCCAGGCTACACCTACAAGTACCTGAACACCAGACTCTTCACGGTACCCTGGCCAGTGAAAGGTTCTAACGTAAAATACGGCGAGGCTGAAATAGCTGCTGCTTGTCAGACCTTCCTCAAACTCAACGACTACCTGCAGATAGAAACCATCCAGGCTTTGGAAGAACTCGCCTCTAAAGAGAAGGCTAATGAGGATGACGTGCCAGTGTGTGTGTCTGGAGATTTCCCCAGGGTCGGCATGGGATCATCCTATGATGGACAAGATGAAGTGGACATTAAGAGCAGAGCAGCATATAATGTAACTTTGCTGAATTTCATGGATCCTCAGAAAATGCCGTACCTGAAAGAGGAGCCCTATTTTGGCATGGGGAAAATGGCAGTGAGCTGGCATCACGATGAAAATCTGGTGGAAAGGTCAGCGGTGGCAGTGTACAGTTATAGCTGTGAAGGTACAGTCTGCTTTGGGAAAAAGCAGCCCTGGGTGTACTATGAGCAGAGTTGTTTAGGCTCTGGAGATATACATGCGTATACATGTGCATGTTTGTGTGTGCGAGTGCATGTGCGTGAGTATGCGTGTGTGTATGTGTGTGTCATGTGTGCTTTTTCGGCTTGTTTCACCCTTATGTCTGCAGAATATACCTCTTTCTCGTTTAGCTGTGCTATGTGGCTCATTGTTATACCATACTCAGAATATTTTCGTGTGTAAGCACTACTGTCATCTTGTCTTTCCCATGCCCAGGAGAGCAGCGTCTTGGTTTCATACAGCCAACTGTCTTTCGCGAAAGCTCAGAGTAGATTGTACAGTTGCTATAATTAACTTGCTGATAAAGGGCCGGGAAAACAAAAATCTGTCAAATCTTTCCAGGTTCCCACAGGTGCACATTTCCAGTCTTGCCAAAATATTTTATTATGGTTGACATCACTATCTTGATGGGTGTGATTTGTCAAATATAGACTTGTTCTTGGCTTCATATAGTTTTTACTACTGTTCTTCCTTGCCAGAAGCAGTTGAGGTGGGCTTTGCAA